AGAGAGAGAGAGAGAGAGAGAGAGAGAGAGAGAGAGAGATCCAAGGGTACAACACTTTCCATTTTTCCACATCCCAGTGAGATGGAGTTAAAAAAGACTCATTTTGTGATTCCCAGTCGATCCTCAATTATATATACTGTGATGAATTGCAAAAGAAAACCAGTAGCTGGGGCTGGAGAGATGGCTCAGTGGTTAAGAGCACTGACTGCACTTCCAGAGGTCCTGAGTTCAATTCCCAGCAACCACATGGTGGCTCACGACCATCTGTAATGAGATCTGATGCCCTCTTCTGGTGTGTTTGAAGACAGCTACAGTGTATTCATATATAATAAATAAATAAATCTTAAAAAAAAAAAAGAAAACCAGTAGCTGGGCAATGTAGTACTTACTTATAATCCCAGAAATCAACAGGGAGGCTGAGGTAGGAGAACTACTGTGCGTTCCGCTCAGTTCCACCTTTGTAGTCATCTTTGACTACAAAGTGACTTTGAACTAAGTATGACACGTGAAGCTTTTTCAAGAAAATGAAGAAAAGCAACAATAATACAAAACAAAAGGAAACAAAGACAGTCAGAATCCCAGGACTGGAGGTGGGGGAGGAGAGGAGAAGCCCATAAGTGGACATGCTTGCGTATGTGACTAGAAACTACGAGGACGTAAACGTCTCTCTAGTATGTGTTCAGACTTCGTAGGCATTTGGGGGATACTTTTCTGGAGGGTCATAACCAAGGAGTGCTATGTCAAAATAAGCCAAACACGATAAAGCTTGCCACTGTGAAACTTGTTTGCCACCCTTGGTCTAGCTGGATAGATTTTTTTCAACCAAAGTCTTAGGTTCCTAAGCAGAATCTGATAAAATTTCCTAAAATTAACTGTGATTTCTAACTCACATTGTTTTGCATATATTTGAATAGCCTGAGGCCAACACAATCTCTACAAATACAACTGTATCCTTTGTGACTTATCTGAGCTAGTAGGTTTATCTTTACAATGTAACAATCACACATTGACAACACAGGAAGAAACTAAAGGATCCATGGTGGGATCTTTCCTTAGTGGTGAAAGGGTTGTTCATTTAATAATGCTACTGGGGAAAGTAGCTCTTCATTTGGAAAGAGCAAAAATACCTTTATTATATACAGAATGGGAAATAAACTCTAAAGCTGGTATGCTGGCATGGGTCTATAATTCCAGTATCTGAGAAACGGAGACAAGAGGACAAAGAGACCAATGTGCACCATATAATGAGACTATGTTTCAAAAAATAAAGTAAGACACTAGAGAGAGAGGGCTCAGCAGTTAAGAGTTCCTCCTGCTCTTTTAGAGGACGGAGTCTCATACCCAGCATACATTTGGGATCCATTACAACTATATGTTAGCTGTTAGGGATTGGATGTTCTCCTCTGCCCTCCTTTGGTACCCACACATATGGCACATATTCCCAC